CTCTCTCTCTCTCTCTCTCTCTCTCTCTCTCTCTCTCTCTCTCTCTCATCTATCTATTATGGCTCTTCTGGAACTCTGTAGACCAGGCTGGCTGGCCTTGAACTTGGTTCTTTCTGCATCTGCCTCCCTGGTGTTGGGATTAAGGTCGTGTGCCACACTATGCCTAGCTACAATTTGATTTTTTTTTCCTTGTTTGCTTGTGTTGAGGCAAGGTCTCACTCCACTCTAGGATGGTCTAGACTTTATTTTGTAGCCTTGGCTGACCTTTAAACCGTGATGGTCTTTCTACCTAAGCTTTGTTTTTTTCTAAAGGTTTTAGTCTAAATTTGTTTAGTCTAAAGCTTTTATACAATTATATCTTTTACATTGGGCATATTCCTCCCGTATGGTTCTACCCTCCCTTTTCTTCCTCCTTCCCAGTCCTATTAGTTTCCTTAGTCTTCCTAGATAGTTTTGTTTCTACTTTTATGTTTATATACATACAGAAACAAATTGACTCTTAAAAGAATCTAGTAGAAAGTACACCCTCAATATAAGGTGGGGTGAGAAGAGTCCAAGTGCTGACTACTTAGATGAAGGAAAGAGGTTTTAGTCTCCTTCTCTCTCTCCCTCCCTGTGTGTGTATTTTAATTATTCTTTTTTCTTTTCTTTTTTTTTTTTAGACAAATTTTTCTATATAGCTCTGGCTGTCTCATAATTCTCTTTGTAGACCAGGCAGATTACAACTTCTGAGATCTGCCTCTGGCTTCTGAGTACTGGGATCAAAGATGGGTGCTGCACCACACCTTGCTAAGAATTTATTTTTGAGATTATAATATTACATCACCCCTTCCCCAACCGTCCCATGTTCCTGTCCTTACTCTTTTTCAAATGCATGGCTTCTGAAAATGTATCACTGTGTAGCCTAGTCTGGCTTCAAACACTGGACCCTCCTGCCTTGTCTAACTTTGCCAGTGCTCGAATTACGACATGCATCTCCAAATGTTTAACTATTCTAAACTTGAGGTTTTTTTTTTAAAGACCATTTTCTTTTTTGTATATATTTACTTCAGTATTTTTTTTTTTTTGCTGAAAATGATCCGTGTGCTTGATTTCCTTTTTTTAAATTTATTTTTTATTTTACATACATTGGTGATTTAACTACATGTATCTCTGTGTGAGGGTGTTGGATCCCCTAAAACAGGAGTTACTCACAGTTGTGAGCTGCCATGTGAGTGCTGGGAATTGAACCCAGGTCCTCTGGAAGAGCAGACAGTGCTCTTAACCACTGAGGCATCTCTCCATTTTCTTAATAAAAAAATTTGTGTGTGTGTGTGTGTGTTTGTGTGTGTGTGTGTGTGATATCACCTGGAGCTGGAGTTACAGGTAGTTGTGGGCTGTTTGACGTGGTTGATGGGAATTGAACTCAGGTCTTCTTTTGAGAGCAGCTCTTAACCTCTGAGCCATCTCACTTAACCCTCTAAATGAGTTTACACAATGTATTTTTTTTTTTGTTTTGTACAACTTATTTTTCTTCAGCATTTGAAGCAGCTAACCCTTTTTGAAAGGACTTTGGAAGACATGGCTGGGGGTTTCTGCCTGTGGTCAGAATACTTTGAGAACTGTTTCAGAGGAATTGAGCCCCCTGGTGGAGGATACAGAGCACCCTCCTACTCAGTGGATACACTCAATGCTTGGAAAGGCTAAAGGTCTCCAGGGATTGCGTTGGTTGTTAGTCAAGGACAGGGTAGTTAATCATTTCATGACCCATCCACCTTTAACCCCATGACCCTCCAGCCCCCCATTGCAGACAGTGCCAATTTTGGGTCATTTAGCCATTTGCGGTGGAACAAGACCTCCAGGGAAGGATGCTGATGTCTTAATTGCTTCTTTTTAACTTTTACAGGGCATAGCCAGGCTTTTAGCAGTGGAAGACTTTTGTATAAACTGATTTAACAACCTCTTTTTTTGTTTTTTTTCTTTTACTTTTCTTGTTTTAAAAAACTTTTTGATTCTTTGTGAATTTTATTGCATGCGCTCCTACCCATCTTCCCTTCCTTCCATATTCACCTTCTGCCCTTGCAACCTACTCCCAAAAGAAAACAAATAAAAACGCATCTCTCTGTGGAATCTGTGCCATGTCACAGTGTGTCACAAGGTATACTCTTTTGCTCAAACAGGTTTACTTGCAAATGTCATTGGTCTGTTTTGGTGCCTCTGGCCAGGACTCCTTTTGGATACCCCATTGTCGTCCTGTGTCATGGAGATCCTGGTTCTGCAGGATAGCCCCTTCACATGTTCTAGCAATTCATAAAGGGGGTAGATGTTGGGGTGTGCCAACTCAAACCTCTGTATGTGAGCCTGGGGTGTAGCTGAGTTGGTCAGCCTGCCAGCTCTCCAGCACTACCCCAGTGAGGGGCAGGGCCATTTTTTCTGCTCTCACACCCTCCAGGTAGGCTCTTCCACTCCGCCCAGATGAAAGGTGAGGCTAGCTCTTCCAAATGCTGCAGCCTGTGAGGGTCAAGACCAGCTCTCTTTGCCTTCAGGTTGTGAGGGGCAAGGCCATATCTCCTGTGCTCCACTATGGGCCAGAAGTACTATGTTGTTCAGATGAGGGTGGGGTGGGTGCGGTGGGTGGGGTAGGGTGGGCTCTCTCCTGAGTGACACAGCTGGTGAGGGACAGGGCCAGTTTCCCTGTGGTCGCATTCTCAGGGTCAGCTCTCCCACTCTGCCCAGGTGAGTGGTGGGGCCAGCTCTGCACATCCCCTGGACATCAACATGGCCCCAGGCAGCAGCCCAGACCAGGGATATCTATATGGCTTTTGGTAATAACATGGGCCTCAGACATTGACAGATTCCAGCTACTGCAGGGTCAAGGACCCAGACATAGCCCATGGTGGCAGCATGGGCCAGGACCTTACCATGGCCTCAGGTGATATCACAAGATCCTCATGTCAGGCTGTTCCTCACCACCCATTCTGTGTTTTTTATTTTTTATTTTTTATTTTTTTATTTTTTGTTTTTTCAAGACAGGGTTTCTCTGGATAGGCCTGGCTCTGGAACTCACTCTGTAGACCAGGCTGACCTCAAAGTCAGAAATCCACCTGCCTCTGCTTCCCAAGTTCTGGGATTAAAGGCATGCACCACAACTGCCTGGCTCTCACCACCCATTTTAATTTTTCAAAAATTTTATGTATATGAGTACACTACTGTTGTTATCTTCAGACACACCAGAAGAGGGCGTCAGATCCCATTACAGATGGTTGTGAGCCACCATGTGGTTGCTGGGAATTGAACTCAGGACCTCTGGAAGAACAGTCAGTGTTCTTAACCGCTGAGCCATCTCTCCAGCCCCCCTCACCATTCTCACTCAAACTACCACACCTTTTATTTGTGTTTTTTAGAGACAAGGTCTTGCTATAGCCCTGTGCGGCCCGAGACTTGAGATTTCTGTCATCTGCCTTGTATATAGCATGTAGTACCAGTCTTAGCTAGATTTCTCTTACTAAAAAATAAGTTCTGTGGAATATTTAGAAGCTATAGATAAGACCAGAAAATGCTGTATCCCACCATTTGATCCATCAATACTTTGTTTTATATAGTCCTAGTCTTTCCACTAATTTGCTTACATGATTAACTGAGTTGGAGGTACTGGCTTATGATGGTCGATGTAGCCCAGGCTGACCTGGAACTTGAGGTCTTCCTTGCCTTAGTTTCGCTAGTGCTGGGGTCACAGCCATGCTGTCATCTGTGTGGGTAGCCACATTAAAGCACTTTAAACTTAATAATAGTTTAACTTAGTAGCAGCTTGGGGAATTTCATTCTTTGAAAGATTATTGTAATGACATTCTGGACTTATTTTGAATAGCTGAAGGATGGTTTGTTGACATTTAGACTGTTTTAAGTTTCTTGCTATTAAAAATCAGTCTGGCCATGGTGGGTGGTGCACAGTTTTAGTACATCTGCTCAGGAGGCAGAAGTAGGAGGATTGCTTGAGCCTGGAACAAAAGGCTAACCTGGGCAACAGAATGAGACCCTATCTATTAAACAGTCATTTTTGTAACCTACTTTGTATATTTGTGGCATTGCTGTGACTGTTTCCTCTGAACTGACACGTTCCCTCCAAGAGGAAGGAGGG